GGAGAGAGAGAGAGAGAGAGAGGATAGAAAATCCCCCGGATTTCAGTTGGAGAAACTTTTCTCACCTGTCGCGCCATACTTTACTCGGCCGACAGCGGCGCTCCATGACGACCGTACGGAATAAGGGCGTCTAGTATTATTCGGGTTGGACGAGGAGGAACCATCGACGAACCGCGTATATAAAGAGAGAGAGAGAGAGAGGAATAAAGGCATACAGATAGTCGAAAGTCGTTTCTGCCGGGTGAACCGTGTCGGAGGGAATTGCAGAATAACAAAAATGGATCCTCCTCCGCGCCCTTTGCCGCTTTATATAACCCGTGGATGGGAAAGAATCCTGAAACACGGACGAGCTCGTAAATCAAACCGTGTCTGCATCCACGAATATATATATATACACGAGAGCCGAATCCTTGCCTCTCCCCCTCCTTTAATCCCACATCCATTATTGGGTGGTTTTCTTCCCGGCGGAGAGGCGGCCATTACCAACGCCACTCGTCTTTCCTCCTCGCGACCACGCATTATTTCCTGTCGTGGCATTCGATGGGCATTCCGAACGTTTGATTGAAAATTTCTTGAGACTCTGGAATGGTATGCGCGGGGAGGGACGGCTTTATCCCCGGCGAAAAAGGAGGATGGAAGAGGAAAGATAGGGGAGGGATCGATCTGTTTAACATCGAAGACTATTCGAGGCTTGGCGGTTTCTCTGTGGAGAGAATGGACGCGCATTCCTAATCCGGACGAGTGGAGGGGAGGGGGTGCCGAGTTTAGCCCCCGCGATTTTTCTATTCCTTCTCTTTCGAGATCGAGGACGAGGATGGTTTCGAGGGTGGTTTTACGGTGGCGTGGCTCGATCCTTTGGGAAATATTGGATGAAAATTCGAAGGTGTTCGAGAATCTCGGGGAAATTAACTCGATCAGATGGAAACGTGGTCTCGTACGTTCGATATACTTTTGCCCGGTTGGCTGCGGTCGAAAAAGTCGAACCTTCTTCCGTGAATTTCTCGGATTAACGCGTAAAACATTTGTACCTTGATATTTCACGTATCTTTATACGCGTGAAGAAAGAAAATTTGTCGAATATGTAGATGCATCCTCGTGCGTTCAATTTATTCTCTTACGTCGTTTCTCGAAACGGATAATAAAAATAATTTCAACAATGAAAAATCAAACTCATCCTCGCTCCAACTAATTTCATTCCATTCACGTTACAAAAATAATATTTCCATCGTCGATCTAAGTTCGATCTAATTTCAGATAAAAAATTTTAATTCGATGGTATATTATTCTACGCTTTACAAGGAATCTATTCGTGAAGCGATATTTAAAATAAAATCAAACGAAATCAATTAATCGATCCGTCGCATTGCTTCGTTCAGAATCTTCCCGAGACAATACAATACAAATTTCGAACGTGTCCTCGATCGATTCCCTACCGAATCCCAAAATTCCGAATTAAAATCCAAATGCGTTCTAATAAAATTCGAAATGTCGTCGCTTCCTGCCTCCAGAAACCGCGTATTACGGGGGAGGATTTCGGTTGATAGAGCAGTTAATCATAGCAATTATGCCTACTTTTAGCGTTAATCGGGCATCGGGTAATCTTGCACGAGATGCGGCTTGTCGCCAGAAACAATATGCCCGCGCTAATGGGCTTCCTATTACGCGCGAGGATAATCCAAATTCTCCGGATAATACTCCGCCCCGCAATTTCATTTTCCATTAACGGCGCGCGGCCGCCCGCGGATCGATCGCTTCCGCGATCGTTCCCGATACCGTTTTATCGCTCTCGGCCGCCGCCGATCACCCTCGATCGGCCCGCGATTAAACGCGTTCCGCTCGATCGAATTAGTTCAGCGGTCCCATCTTTTCCGCGCAAGTCCTTTCCAACAATTTTCAAGAATTTCCATGCTTTTTCGATTTATTATTGCTCTTCGAGTATTACTTGGTATCCGTTTGTGCATATCGATGATTTTCAGCGATTAATCTCCAAGGTGAATAGACGAGAGCAAAGCTTTTCTTGCCAGATTTTCAATTGATTATTTTTTGAGCGTTACATCAGGTCTATTTCGGTATTCGTTTGTGCATATCGATGATTTTTAGCAATTAATCTCCAAGGTGAATAGACGAGAGCAAAGCTTTTCTTGCCAGATTTGAAATCGTGAATCGTTGAAAAGACGAGAACAAAGTTTTTCTTAGAGATTTTCAATTGATTATTATTCTTCCAGCGTTACTTGTCCATCTTAGTATCCATTTGTGCATATCGATGATTTTCAGCGATTAATCTCCAAGGTGAATAGACGAGAGGAAAGATTTTCTTGCCAGATTATTTTTTGAGCGTTACATCAGATCTATTTCGGTATTCGTTTGTGCATATCGATGATTTTCAGCGATTAATCTCCAAGGTGAATAGACGAGAGGAAAGATTTTCTTGCCAGAATTTCAATTGATTATTATTCTTCGAGCGTTACTTGTCCATCCGTTTGGGTATGTCGATGATTTTTAGAAGACGTCTTTTTAGAAGTTTTTCTTTTCGATTTCGAAATCAACGGTTCGAATCTTTTGGAAAGTTAAAAGTTGTTGTGTTGGGATTAGGATTTCTCGGACACCCGGTACGCATGGATTGTCCTGTATATTTAATATAAAGACTAGGGAGGGAGGGGGTTGTCTCGAAGCGGGCGCGCATCCTGAGATACCAAGTTTCCAAAGTTAATAAATCATGCTTGTAATTACGAGTAATTTCGCCGATTCCTGCGGCGCATCACTTTCTGCTTCAACTTTTCGTATAACTGGCGAGGCAACTTGCTGCCGACCAGGAGAAGGAGAAGAAGAAGAAGAAGAAGAAGAAGAAGAAGCTTCCGCTTCTGAGAGGAGCCGCGGCAGATGCAACAAACGAGAGGGGGAAAAAACACCAGGGTGAACTGTAATAAACCACGTAATCTTATATATATTTTAATTTCTCGTCTCATTTTCTTATCTCGTTTCTTATATTCTATTATCATTTATCAATGTTTTACAACAAAATTTAATATTATCGAGCTTTTGTTCATTCAAAAGCATCTTAATAACTCGTGATGAAAGAGAACTCCTACATGGATTAGACAACACCGAATTAATTTTCTCGTAGAGATTTTCAATACCTTCGAACATCTCTTCCAACGAAATTCAATACTATCGAGCTTTCGTTTATTCATCTTAATAACTCGTGACTACGCTTATTATTAATGGAAGAATCTTGTTGCAATTTGATAATTTTTACATATTTTAGTATTCTTTTTGGATGTAAATGGTAGAACGATACGTGTTTCTTTTAAAATTTATAAATGCAATATAGATCTTGATAATAAAAAAAAAAAAAAGAAAAAAAACAAGACTGTAGAAACTTTTATTATCCATAAAATTCACGAGATACGTTCGAAACATCTAATAAAACACACCCGTAAATCTTCCGTAACGCGAGATCTCGAAACTGTGTACAATATCGACGTATCGATTTTTCCTCAACCAAAAGAAAAAAAACTAAAAATCTACGTGTAACGTTTTTGTCTTTTCTTTTTCCCCCCTAAGTTCTATCGTAAACTTTCCCTCCAACACTTTCAACGGAACGAAAAATCAAAGATACGAATATCTCTTATGGTGGAATTTTTTTCTCCCGCAAGAAAACAAACTGAACATCTCAAGATAACTTTTTAATCGAGAAGTTGAATAATCGAAGTTTCGAGAAATTCTTCTTCTAGATCATCGCCCCGTTTTCATCGGTGTTCAGAAATCGTTCGGGTCCGCGAAACGAAAAAAATTTCGAAGAATAAAGAGAACGAAAGAAAAAAGAGACTCACCCTTGGTGATGGACGATCAAACTTCACACGGCAGCTTGTTAAAGCTCCCGTGGAAACGCGCTTCCGCTTCGGTTTAAACCGAATTAAACCAGGGGGTGGGAAACGAGGATTTAACTATCGGCGCAAGAAGTTTCGACCGGTGGGGAATTAAATCGAAGCTCGAAAGCGATCTTAATCGTTGACTGTTAATCACTCGATTCACCATCGTGGGAATCGAAACTTTCCAAATCGGTCGGCGAGCAAAAAAAAAAGAAAAAGAGAGACAGACAGAGAGAGAGAGAGAAAAGAGAGAAAAAAGGAAGAGGAGGAGGGTGATCGATGCCGGTTGAGGCGAAGAGTTAACGCGAGAGTTCTCCTGGCTTCG